GAATCGCCCATTGCTCAATGGCGCTTCACTCCCCCGATGGAAGCAGCAAACAGCCTGATTGAAAGAAACCCATGATTTCGCAAATCCCTTGCCGAGAACTGCCGCTCTGCTAGTCGTGCACCTTGTCCACCGAGGATCCAAGAGGGGCGTCGCCCGTGACTACGTACAACATGCACGGCAATCGATAAAAAAAAGGTGTACGAGTATCCTCTCCTTTTCCCGGCATTGGACGGCTGCTTGTGCGATGTCGTCGTAACCGAACTCTACATCCTTCGTTCCTCTCGCTCTCCTTGCCTCGTGCAGCTGCATCACATCACTCAACTTCGTAAACACTGTATTTTAGGCGGTCAAGTCCGCCTGGTGGTGAGATACCGCATATTATCCCAGTGAGTGACCAAGCATGGACCAGTTTGGTCCAAGAAGGAGGACAAACATGTCCCAGCGACGCGGTCGAGAGGATACTACTACTAGTCTCTTTGTTTCCTCTTTTTCTGCTGTCATTGCTGCGCGAAGAGCAAACAGCTGAGTTGTTGCATGAGGCCTGCTGCAGGGGCCAGTGGGCCAACCGAGAAGCTGTGTCAGCGCTCAAGCTCATGGCCATGTCCATTCATTGCCCAGTGCACATCGAAACGCTCATGTAGAGGAATGCGAGTAATTTGGTTGATGAGCCTGGCAAGAAGTAGGTATGTACTATGCCAAGGAAGGGATACCAACTGAATCCCTCTTACTGCTCTGGTTTGGTCGCTCGTGGTGAGTACGCTGTGTCGTACGAGTACAAAGGTTGAGACACAGCAGGGACAGGGAAGAGGGAGAAAAGCCCCCATGTCTCGAAACTGCGGCAACGGCAGCATCTCTGTGGCAGACCCGCCGAGCCGAGTGCTGGATGTGTGTCTCAGGGCAAGATTGATCCGTTCAACCGCTCATGGCCCTGTAGCAACAGTGTTGCAGTGAAGAGGTCGTTCAAGATATCCCACGGGTCACTGTAAAGTACTCCAGTAGTGGGTAACTCTCAGATTCCTGAGAAAACATCAGATTGAACCTCGCAACAGCAACAACCAGGCCCCGGTCGTCCAACAACGCCATCTTGTCTGCTAGCCGTCCAGTATCATCAAATCTGATCCTTTACCCGTGCGTCACGCAAAGGCAGCCAACCAGACGAGCCCAGCAGTCACCCCCATCAGCCAGCACCTGAACCCAGTTGAGTCGAGCCCCCGCCAACGCACACAGCGGTACCCCGTTAGTGCCAGCTCGAGCCCTCTAGCACCTGCCGGCCGGTTGCCCACAGCAGCCTAGCAGCCCTCCAGCGCCCTTCTGGGGGCTCGCTCACCCGCTGGTTGGCCCGGCGCGACAAGCCCAGCCCGCCATTGGCGCTGCGCTGCTGCAGCTCTCTCCCTCCGCCTGCCTACAGGTACAGGTACAGGTACAGGTACAGGTACAGCGTGCAGCCCGCAGCCACAGTCGGTCAGCCAGAGCAGAGCCGCTCCATCTGGTCGGGTCGTTTTTCGCACTCCACCTTCTTTCCGTCTTTCACGCACACACACTTTGCCCTCCCTCATCACCTCGTCCGCCGCCCTGCACCGCCGCCCAACTCGTGCTTCCCGCGTTGCAAACCAGAGGCAGACGAAGCAGCCTGAGCAGGAGACGAAGCCTGTCGGCCTGTCGTTCGTTTTTGAGAGGAATTCGCAGTCCCAGCAGACCTCGTCCGGGCCTCCTTACGGCTGCAGATGCTAGGGGCGTTCTCGCAGGTTTTTGGTTGATAACGATGGCCTCGCCTTTGAAGAAGCAGCCGCAGGATGTCGCCGACTGCGTCTTGAAGCGTGCAGAAGTCAGCAAGGTATGCCATGCCCTCTCTCTCTCTCTTCACTTCTTCGGTTTTTCATCTGATTTCTCTTCTGCGGCATCAATGACGGCTCCATCTACTTTTTTTTTTTCTCGTTCTCTTTTCTTTTTTTTTTCCGCTTCCGAGTCGGTCACTTTCACTAACAGACGGAACCTCGAACACAGATTGCCCGCCGACTCCAGAACCGCCTCGCACTGGCGCAATTCAAGACCAAGCATGGCTGGGAAGACCTGACGCTCGACATCATAGAACCCAAGGTGGAGGAGGAGATTCGACGAAAGCGCCTCTACGAGGGCGATGTCCTGTCCGATTCCTCGTCAAGTGCATCCGACCTGCCGTACCCGACCAAGACGCTGATGAGCTCTCCTCTCAAGGCGCCCTTGTTCTCCGATGCCGTCGGCTCGAGCAATGGCAGCTCCGGGCATCGCAAACGCACCTACTTTGCCTCGTTTGACAACACCGCCTCGAGTCCGACCAAGCGCTTCCGCGGCTCCCCGACACCGCACAAGTCCTTTGGCGGTCACACCCTGTGGAAGGACGGGCACCAGCTCACGCACTCGTCCCCCATGAAGCCTCGCCGGCAGCAGCACTTTACCACCTCGGCCGGGCCCGACGTCTCCTTCTTCCAGCAGCGGCGGATGACCAATGAGCTGAGCGCTCACCCAAACTTCACCGCTCCGGACGACGAGGATGACGATCTCCTGCCAGCGCACTCGTTTGCCGCCAACATCCGGTCCTCTCCGCCTCGCACGCCGCCAATGCAGTCGCGGTCGCTGAGGAAGAGGGCAGACGGTGCCGAGGCGGGCCAGGAGGGAGCCGATCTGCTGCTGTACCTGGCGGCGTCGCCCTCACCAGCGGTCAAGACAAACAGGGCCCGGATGGAGCGCCCGTCGACGCCGCCGCCCAAGAACAGCAAGCTGGATCTGCCCTCGGCCATGATGACCACGCCTGGCGGAGGCAATCCGTTCCCCAACACCCCCGGCCAGGGCTTCGACTTTGCCGACTTTGTCAACATCACGCCCAGCCCAGCGCAGAAAGTCTGGAAGACACCCAATCCTCTCACAGGCGCTCGCACTCCGCGCAGCGTGGCCAGGAAGCGCCTTACGTTTGATGAGCCTCGACCTTGATGAACCCAACGAAGCATTTGCCTCTCTAATATGTGAAGGACATGCCGCAATGCCTCACTGTCCCTACCTGTTTGCTTCTTGTACATGATACCACGACACCGTATGCCGTATTATACACGGCTTTTATTGCTTTTTAGTCATTATAACCCCCAATATCCTGTCTTCTATCACCCTTTCTTTTTTTTTTTTTTTACCCTTTCCCTTGTTCTTGTATGCATCTATCCATTCTTGCTTTACCCGCCTTCTTTGATGGCTACGTCAGGAACTAATCTCTTGTTTTGGATGTCTGGCCTTTGGCGTTTGCTTTTTTGTTTTCGATTAGATGGCCCGCTCTGCTTGCAGCATCCATCGAGCAAGGGTTAGAAGAAGGGCAGGGCACGACATCTGGCCGTTTGGAGACATTTGATATTGGCAATGCGAAACGGTCATGAGGAGGGAAAGGAGTTGAAGCTGCGGTTTTTCCCGCAAAGGATTCGTCATGTTTGTTTGTTTATTATCTTTGCCATTTATCCCCCTCCCATGGCGGTGTACTGCGCACAGCAGCGGGATTTTGGCGGACGTCGGTATGAACGGGATGGTTGGATGATTATTACCATTACCCCCCCTGGTATACGAGCCAGGCAGGCCTCCTTCTTGCGATGGCCAAGAAAAAAAAAAGAATGAATGTGATACTAGTAGTTAGACGCGTCAATGATAGTGATTCTTTTCCCGTATTTTCTTTCCGTTAGACTTTTGTTGGTGTGTACTGTTGGCGTGTGCTGGTGAGATTCGTGACAGGTAGTAGTAGTCTGGCGTTTGGTGGCTTTGTGATGTTTTTCGCGCCGACGCAAAGACACGCGCTCCGAATGTATCTTAGTATTTGTAGTTGAAGCCGAGCTTTTCAACGCGTCCTGCTCAGCATTGAAAATTGGTTTAAAACGCGACTCTTTTTTTGGTTGTGTTACTACTACTACTACTCGGGCCCGCGTCGAGATCGCGTTGCACGAAAGGCGTAATTCTGTAGCTGGATTCGGGCCCTTGATTGGATAGAGGTGAGGTAATGTGGCGTCTTTTGTGCTGCTACTAGCACTAGCCTTGTGTGTGTGTGTGTGTGTGTATGTTGATGTGGGAGAGAATATGTAGAGAAGTCTGATGGGGAGAAGGTAAGGTAGTGGTGGTGGTGTGGTGGTGAGGGGGGATGTGGAAGAGAGTTGGAGCTGGTGCTGCCTTGAGGTAGAGCTACGAGGAAGAAGATGTGACTGCTGGTATGTACATGTTGGCTCTCTTACTTGGAGGAGGGGCGATGTGTTGATGGCGGTGGCTTGAGACGAACATGTGTGAGATACAATGTTGGATTGGAGTTGAGATGGTTCGTTGCGTTTGCTGGCCTGATAATGTGAAGCCGCTTCCTTGCCTTACTATCATGCCACTTACACCGTTCATCTCACCTCGCAAACTGACCATACCCTACATGCAACGAATCAGTTGGCGCGGCCTTGGTTTTCTTAACCCCCAAGGCATGGCCGTTGAATTTTATTCAGCAGAAATTTGCAAAAGCAAAACGGAATTGGTTCGAAAAGATGTGTATATCGATTTGACTGCTTCATGCATCTGCAGCTGGAAATTCACTGTCTTGAGGCATGATTTCTCCTCGTCGGCATTGGACCACTTAAGAACGCAGAGTGACGCACGGAGACCCCCGCAAACAGTTTATTAGCCTGCATTTTCAACTCGTCTCTTCGACATTTCCTTCTTTGGCCAGAAATCAAATAGACGACACAAGACTTGTATGATAAGTGACGACTGAGGCTGTGATTATTCGTTGGATTGAAAAAGCTTCTACTACAAACTACATCATCCGCTGCGGGTATTAACTGCTATGCCATCATCCTACAAATAGGTACAGAACTTCCAACTTTTGAGCACCGGTCCCGACACCTCGGAAGCCGTAACCGGCCGGCAAACGACAAACACACCACCATCAAGTGAGACCAAAGCTCTCTCCTTACTCTTGTTCATGAGCTCCAGGTTGTTGTTGCAATGAGTTTCTCCATTCATGCAATAGTAGGGCTGTCAACCCTCTCGACCATGCCTTCGTAACCAACAGGTTCTTCCTTGACGCCACCGCTCCAATCGCCTAAACTAGAGCCGCTCACGTACCTAGAAGTATAGCTGTCACGAGAGCTCTGCTGGAACTGGCCGCTGTACACGGAACTGCCCCTTGTGGAGATGGCTGTTCCTGGCGGTATCAGTTGGTTGGGCTGTAGCTCCAAGTCAAACGGGTCGGACCGGATTCTGTCACGTCGCTGGAGGAACGACTCGCGGTTCTGACCCGTTGATTCAAGGCCATGTACGGACTCTCGGTGCACAGAGTGCGGCCGGGGAGGACCCCTAGGGACCTGGAAGCTTCCAAGCCCGCCCAAGGATCGGCCTCTAGACCGGCGAGTTGACGCAGAAACAGGGGGAGGCAACACCATGTTGTCATCGCTGAACGGATCCAAGCTGGAAGGCGGCGGCGCCGTAACCGACATCAATGAGTTGGCATCCGAGAACGGGTTGAGCTTGCCAGGCTCGAGACTTATGCCTTGTCCGTTTCTGAACTCTCTTGGCCTGTTTCCGGGTGCGACGGGATGCTGGCACAACGGGTCTGGCGGCAGCGTGGCATTGATCGGTTCGGTAATGGCCGCTTCGAGGAACTGGGAGTTTCCTCTGTCCATGTTGACGTTGCGAGATCCGAGTTTCTCGCCAAGTTTCCGCCTCGCCGCGTTCAACGTAGTAGAAATTCCCAACTTTTGCCCCATTGATATGAAAGAGCCCTTTTCGGTAAATCCACCATCCTTGTTCAATCCCTGTCTGCCATCCGCGGCCCTTCTCTTCCACAGCCAAAGTAAGATGAGAATCAACGCAACAGCGGCAATACCGCCTACTGTGCCACCGACAATGGTGCCCGTGGGTGGTTTCGAGCTTGAGCCAACCGGGTCTACTATAGGTTGTCCAGTGGACTGGCTTCCTGCTGACGAACTGCTTTCCGACGCATCGCCAGGTAACGTGCTGATAGCTGAGGGGAAGGCTACAATGCCTCCAGCAGAACCTGTTGTACTAAAGGTTGCATCCGTCGCTGTGCTGGAAGATGTACCGCTTGAGATAGAGTCACTAAGCGGCACACTTGTCACAGATACAGGCGTGGACGTGGTCGCAGAAAGGGCTGCAAAGATAGCTGCAGAACCTGATGTAGAGGTTGAAACCGAGATTGACGTCGGAATCGGAGTCGAAGTTGTAGCCGAGATGGACGTGGTAGATGCACTAGACGACGCGGCGGATACAGATACGACCTGATTGACTGCCCCGGTGGGAGCCGCTGGTGGCTGCTCCTGATTCGACGAGTTGGCTTTTGCCCCCCTTGGCGGTGACGACGAAGTTGCTATGGTGGAAGAAGTTGCTACAGCAGAGGGTGGCGCTTCAGCAGAGGAAGCTGCTGGATTAGAAGACAGAGCTGAAGTTTTGGCTGGGGGATCAACAGCTTCTGCGCTGAAAACCTCTGGCTCTTGAGTCGAATCGTCGGTAGGCTGGGCTGCTGCTGATGTAGCTTGAGTCCGAGTAGTTGACGTCGGGTTTGCTGGTGTTGATGAAACCTCCTGTGCGATTTCGGTCCCGACTCCCGAGCTTTGGGATGGTATCGTGGCAGAAGACGGCGTTGGGCTGGACGGCGTGACCGTGGGTGCCTCACTGGCCGAAGCTGTGGGCAAAGGGACGATCTGAGGAGAAGGCTCTTTTGTTGAGGATGGTGTTTGCGCTGGAGCGGATGAACCAGGTTGATTGCTGGCAGTGATCGTCGTAGGCAGCGCAGGCTCGTCATTCGCCGTCGAATTTCTATCTGGAACGGCTGTAGTTGAGAAACTGCCAACGGTTTCCTCCGCAGAAAAGCTCGACCCCGTAGTGCTGGGGGCCTGTGTAGGCGGGCTATGCATCGTACTGGGGGCTACGTTTGGGGCATCGTTGCTCGAGGTTAAGATGTCCTGTGCTGAATCGCTGAAGATGACACTAGATGAAGGCAGCGGAGAGACATCTGGGCCTCCAGTGGCTGCAGAGCTGGTATTGAGAAAGGCAGTTGACCCAGGCAACTGAGTTTCGATAGATGTCGGAGACGCAACGCTCGGAAGGCTTGACATTGCGGTTCAATCGACTTGCGGGACCAGCCGCAACAAGAAAGAAAGAAAGGAAAGAAAGAAAAAAAGGAAAGAAGAGGTTAAAGGAATGCCATATACGAACAGATGCTGCTAGGGGACGAATATCCTCCACGAAGCAAAGAAGAACAAGGAAGCCTTGTAGACAAACAAGGGTAGAACAACAACTAGCCAACCACAAGAGAAAGAAAGATGAAGAGAAGTAGATTGCAAAGAGGAACAGAATGATAGAAATGGCCTGGTCCAGTGACAGACGAGGAAATAGATTAGGGAAGAATGGAAATGCGATATCTAGGATGAGAGAGGAGAAAGTCAAGAGTATCATGCGCCTTTCCCGGCGGCACTTCCGACGTCCTCTCGGCGGTACCACCTAAAATTGGCAGCCAGAGGGGCCACAGAAACAGGAGCCGTCTAGCTCCTGCAAGGCAACGAAACACATTGCATCGCGCTGTGTGATATGCGAGGGTTGCGCCGATGCGATCTTGCATATGGGAGGCGGCGCTCCGTATCAGGGGCTGAGACCCCGGTTCTGCGACACATCTGAAGCATCATGACATGCAAAATGGGGGAACAAAGTCCGCTTTCGAACTAGCCCGGCGACAAAGGGGAGCGGTTGGACAGTGTATGGTTAATATTGGGTTGAAAAAAAGACATAAATCGAATTGGCACAAGTACTAGGAAACGTTACTTTTGAGCATAAGAGGCGAAGGGGCGAGAGGAAGCAATTCCAGTGTGGTCGTCGGGCAGTGCTTGGTCATTGCTGTCCGAGTGTAAGTCGCAAGTGTGGTACAGAAACCGCTGTCAGCGCGGTGCTGTTCGGCTCAGGCGAGATGATACGAGAGTGGCCACGACGAAGAAGTGCGACCAGAGGTGACACATACATACAGCTGATGGGCACCTTTTGTGAATGCCTGCGTCATCTTTCCACCTGAGGTCATCGAGAGTAGAGACTTCGCGAGAGTAATGGAGTAGACCATGAAACCACGCATCTGCACAGCATCGTTCCATATGGACTGTATACCTCCCCGATTAGGCGCCAATTGACGACCTGATCAGCGCTAAAGGGGCCCAAAGAGAGGCATGGCGACGGGCTTGATTGGCACGCGCCCATGTTCCGAGTCGTTGAGCGCCAGTCAGTGCCCTGTGCCTTGCGCATGGGATGGTTTGCACAGGGGCATCGTGCTTCTGCATCGTGCTCGGTTCGTCATACCCACGCGCTTGGTGCTTGGTACGTGTACGAAGTACGGCCTTGGACTCGAGAAGGTGATATTCGACGGATATTCAAATGTAGGCCAACGCCGGTGTCTGCCACTTTTTGGAAATGTCCTACTATCAGCTTCACGAAGCATGCTAGAGAGAGCACTGAGATGCAGATTCCGGGCTCAGAGATGCTCCGAATATTGGTCAAGCATCTGTCAATGCACGCCAGATCCCCCCAGACTGGTTTGGCCAGAACAGCAAACGGAGTTTGGATGCTGAAGGATCGGCATCTTGAAGCATTCATTTGCCTTGTCGGGGACGCATAAGGTACGTTGCACGTCGACTCCTCAAGGAAGACAAAAGGTCGTGGTGACGGTGGCAAAGAAGAGCAAAGACCTCCTGTTGTCCTCTCATCAGGATCCATGTGGGATGAAGAGCGTCCATGTTGGTAGGTCCCATGTAAGTTGAAGACCTCTTTCCGCATCTGCTCTTACCTTAGATAATCTCGTGGTTATGACTAAGGTTGTGATCATGATTCGCGCTTTTACACACGGCAGGAGCGATGTGATACGGTGCCCGCCGAAGAGATTTGATGCCTTTGCTGGGTATTCGAAGACTTGCGGTAGTCACGTCAGAGGCATCACCTTCCAGTTCTCACCTACCTTAATACGGAGTAGAAACACCAGCAGACGAGGGGTTAGTCATACTACATGTACTCTGGTCAACCTCGACTCCTCCTTTTGCATCATCTTCCGGCCGCGGACAAGCAAGATACTCATGTTCAGCGATGATGCGTGCTCAATGTTCCTCATTCGGTGACTGGTGACAAGAGGCGGGGGAGCTGCTAGCCGCTGACACACACGCGTGCACATGCCATGGATCCAACCATCTTGGACAGCAGCTAAAGTCACGCACTAAAGAGCTGCCCGCGTCTTCTTGCGCCATGCCCCTGGACCACCACAGCAGCTGTCTGGCCCCGTTCGGGATTGGGATTCTTGACCATCCATGCAGCTCGACAGCCTAGGCACTGCACCCATCTCTCGAGCCTGCAGAGCAGGTAGGTACCGAGTACAGCACCAAGCACGGCGGCCGGCACTTTGGTTGACCCGCCAGCTGGCTCCAAGCGAAGCCACTCACAGCAGATTGCGTCGTTTCTCCCACGAATCCTGTTCTCCGTCACCGTCTCCGCCTCCGCCTCCGCATCGGCTCGGGCACTGCCAGCTTCTGCTGTCATCTTCTAGCACGCGCGCAAAAAGAGGCCATATCCGAGTCCGCTCGCCGAACCGCGTCTCCCCCCGTGATCCATCGTGAATCGGGGACGCTTGTCCTTTGGCCTGGCCCGCTCTCGTATCCGCTCCCGCGCCTGGCATCTCCGAGACCCCATCGCTTCGGCCACGTCTTTGCTCACGATCGTTGCCGAAGCGGACGGCACCCGTCTCTGCCTCCCAGATCCGCCCGTCTAGCTCAGCCCGTGGAGGCGACCGCCTAATCCTCTGCCCCTCCTCCATCTGGGGACGAACCTGGGCTTACGATTGCGGCGCCGGCTGGAGCTGGCCTTACCCACTATCTGCCTATCGATCTATCAACCACTCCACGCTCTATCGTGTCCTCATCACGGGCAGGCAATCATGTTCGGATCCTTTGGCTTGGGTATGTCTCCTCCATAATCTCTGTTGATCTCCCCACCCCCGCACATCCCATCTCGCTCTGCCCTGCCGTCCGCAACCTGGCACGCGACCAGCTCTTGTCCCTCTTTTCGCCTCGGCTTTCCCTGCCCCATCCACGCCAGACTCGGCTTGCTACACCCCTGTTTTCACGTCTTGTGTGTCTTCACTCGTTCAAGCCCCTGTCTTAGGATTGAAACACCATCCCGAACTCTTCAACTTTTCTAAACGGCGACTAGCAAACCTGCCGCCCAAGGTCAAGGTAGCCCCCGAGGACATTCCGCCTCCAACGACAATTAGTCTTCCTCGCTACCAGCCTTTCGTCCAAGATGATGTGCCAGTCGATCCAGAGAACGCTCTGTCTAACCTGCTCAAATGCACGGGCCGAACTTCCGCCACTGCGGGAGCCGTTGGGCTTTCTGCCATCGGATTTGACTTGAAATTGGACGTCGAAGTCGACGACCTGATCCCCGATCCAACCGTTCTCCCCGATTTTGAACGGTGGGACAAGCTCACGCTCGAGGAGGCTCGAGAACTGAAGCAGGCAGAGCGTCGATTTTTGCCTAGCGGCAAGGAGCATCCCGGATGCCTCGTTTACATAGAGCGCCGGAGGGAGCTCTCTCACGATAACGAGGAAGCGTTCCGTACCGTTCGTCGCCTGGCACCACCCAAGGGGATGCAACAGCCTCGCCTCGGCAACGCCTATGAGTTCTTCCGCTGCCTCGAATTCTTCACCATGTACTGGGAGGACACAAGTCGACCCCCCTCCCTCCCTCCATCTCCCGAACTAGCACCGACAGAGAACGGAGATGCCAGCACTGCTAAGGAATCACCACCGCCCCAGGCCGCACGGACGTCGGATGGGAGTTCCATGCCTCCGGAGTATCGCCAGAATCTTATAACGGCCTTCATAAAGCTCGTCGCGTACGACTTTGGTTGTAACGTATCCATGTCCCGATTCGAGCCAAGACTGCAGCTGAGCTCCCCAGAGGGCCATCCTAGCCCGCGCAAGTCATACAGCCCCTCCAACTGTCAGTTCATCTTCCAGAGTCCCATGACCCGGGAGGCAGCACGTAGCGGCCTAGTGTACGGCCCCGTTGGGGCGGTGAGTACGCGTCCAGTTATAGACTTTACCACGCCTGATATCGAAACTGCACAGTCTCTCGACCTAGCTCGAGAAGTGGTAGCAGCGCTCATCACAGCCCAACATCGGGCGCGCGAGGGAAAGACCGAGACACGATTTGGTGAGAACCAGTGGTGGACTACCAAACCGCGATGGGGCGGCGGCCCAGGGGGGCCCATTGGGCGAGAAGTCGACATGTGCACATCCTCCGGGGACAAATGTGCAGCGCCTGCCGACTCAGAGAGAGGGGCTCGGCCTGCTGCGAAGAAGGCCCGGAAAACCATGTCAGCATACGACGCGTATCGCATGGTCCGGCCGCCGGCCTATACATGGGACAAGAAGGCCCGTTACCAAGCTATTGGCAGGCAGAAGGGCGCCGATTTTGACGACATTTTCGTCATCAGTTCTGTGTTTCACCATGTGTCCATTCTCCGGGTGCGAGTGCCCGATCGACTTTTGGAGGTGCTCGCGGGCTCTCCTGACCCCGACGTAACACGACGCAGCTGGGGAAGGGTGCAAGGATGGCGAAGTCGATGGTTCGACTTGTTCAATGCTGAGCAACGGCTCGCAGCCATGAAGACGCTCTGGGCCGTGATGGAATACCAGATGAGGAAAGAACCGGGAGAGGAGGACGTCGAGATGGCCGACAAGTGAGCGTTTCCAGCAACTGATAAAGAAGGAGAGAGCGTCGACTATATTGTGGGATGAGAGACTTGCAAGACAGAAAGAAAGTACCTGCAACAGAACATTCGGGCTGTTTGATTCGGCAAAGAGAGACACAAGATACTTTCTAGATGCAGCGGCTTTCCCGTTGACGTGAGCTAGGGTTAGACAATAATATACTGGAACGTAGGATGTTGTGGATTCTGAGAAGTCGAAAGCAAGGGCATGTGATGTTCGATACGGGAGTCATTATGAAAGTGAAGGTTATGCGGAGTAAGCTCCGACTACTGGTTCGATTATCAACGGGCAATTTTGCGAGTAGCTTACCTTCCCTTATCAAGGCGTGAAATGCCACATTGACTCACGACACCGCTTCTCTTTGGATGGAATAAAAGCTCTATGCGCTTTGTGATGTCTGCAATGTGAATACGGAGTAGTTGAATAGGTGGATAGCAAGTATCATTTGTCGAAAGTAGTGGTGCTGGGCATGCTATAATCCTAGACCATATTCATGTCTCGGCCAAACGGTCGAGTGACATCGCTGCGTTCCTCGTACTTTCGTGACAAGTCATCATTCAACCACAAGTCATCCTTCGGCCAGGCGTGCGAGCATCTGGCAGACGTTCCAGTGCAAAACGTCTCTTGTTGCGATTGAATCCTCCACGCTGTCATGTCCCTGGCCCTTAGTCTGGATCTCTCGCCCCAGCCTCTCTTTCGCCAGTGCCTTCAGTGATAGCCCCCCTTTTTGCCTCGGCACTGCAGGGACATTCTCACGAGGTCCTTGTTGACCGTTTGCTCCCTCGTTCTCAAGCTGCACACCGCCGACCTGGGTCTCCCGTTCTTGCGCTGTTTGCTTGACCTCCTCCGGAGGCCTGTTTGCCTTCTCGACCAGGTGAGTGTCGATGATGGCCGGGTGAATCCAGCGCAAACAGGTGAGATCAGAGTTGGAGCCGTGTCCGATGACGATGGTGTCGGGGTCGATAAACTCCCAGAGGGCCTGTCTTGCGCTGGCACGTCCGAACAGGCACGACCGCGCACGTCGTGCTTCTTCCATATCCTGCCTACTGACGCCCGAGTACCTTGTGTTGTAGTGAAGCATCTTAATGTCAGGATACACAAGCTTATCGAGCAGGACTTTGCCGGAGAAGTAATCGATGGCAGACACGCGGATCAATTCGGACTCGCCCGTCATAGCTGTGCCCATCTCACAGTCAATGACCACGGCGACTGCTGGGGAGCCACCAGTGCAGTCAAAGGGCGTGGGATAGAATTTCCATTCCCTTTCCAGCTCCCCAGCGGCGTAGACTTTTGGCTTATGCTCTTGGAATGCTCGACATGGAGGCGAACCAGGCAAACCGTCGCAGCAGGTCCATTTCTGACACGTTGTATGTGAGCTTCGCCATCTTAGTAGGGTAAAGAATGGGAAATAGGGAAAGAAAATAAGGAGTATGGGAGTAGGTCGGGTACAACGGGAGACAAACCCTTCGTATGACTTTTCCTGGATGATGCCTGCATTGCAAGGCCGCCTCCTTATCCTTCTTTGAAGTGCCTCCCTGAACAGAGTTGTCGATCGGCTCGCTAGGACCGTCCTTATCCTCGTCCTTGCCTCGAACGGGCGTCTTTTGCAGCCACATGAGCCTCTTCATCTTGTGAGGGAGATCTCGAGGCGTGCCCGTCAGCATCGCTTTGCCCTACATCACGCCCGGTATAACACTTACGACGTCCACAACGACCGCACCTCCGCTTGCGGTTCAGGTCATCCTGTGAAAGCTGGTGCACGACATAGCCGGATTTCTGCAGGTCGGAGCGGACATGAACGAGGTTCCGAAGATGCTGGATGTATTCCTGGGAGCTTTGGATTGCCTCGGGCTGGACTGGCTCGGGTTGCTTATCGCGCGGGGACATGGTAAAGGATATCGGAATAGCCACTGGGCGGCCTGGTGCCTGAGAGGCCTCAAAGGCCATGGCTGGTGAAGGCGAGAGGAAGAGGCCGGAGGGGATGGATATAATGACGCATAAGTAGAGAACAAACGGCAGAAGAAAGAAGAGAGTTGTTGAAGGAGGGGATTAGTATTCGAACGAGCCTAGGGCAGGAGCTTGGAGCACGATGTTGAAAGAAGATTGGTGGAAGAAGTGGTGAGGCAGAGTAAAGTGAGAACCTGGAAGGAGAAGCGCTGCTCGTGATTCGCAGCAATCGATTAGACGATGCTTGGATGCCTTAGTAGGCACGTCTTGCTGAGATGAGTCAGGCACCACTGCGAGCTCGTCTGGCAGCAAGCAGACGATGGAAGGCGGCCAATCCAACGTAGAACGGCTACCTACTAATCAAATGAGGATGCTCTGGTTGATATCCATTGGATTTCAATTGACTACATGCGTGCTTCACTCGGAGTAGGTAAGATGGATCACCATTCCCTCTTTTCCCTCTATTACTGCATTCTTGTGTTTGGCGAGAACAGGCGAGCTCCGGCTGTACTGACATTGATCTTTCTGCGCTCCCGTTTGCACATAGTAGACCTCCACGATGATGACAGTTCCTCAATACACAACACAGCAGCAACGCCCGTGTCCATTAAGTTGCTTACCATGATGGATTCACCGTTGGTCAGGTCCACGACGGCCCTTGTTCTGGGGCTATCCCTAGTTGCCGCCCGCCGTCCGACCCTAGCCGACGACTGTGGCGCCCTAATATGACTGGCAGCGTCGTGCAACGCTATGTATTAGTAGTATCAAAGCGGAGTTGATGCATCTGGCATCTGCACGGGAGAGGCGCAGGGAGAGAGGGAGAGAGGGTTCATAAAGGGCCGAGAGTCGGAACGAGAATCTCCAAAGACAGTTACTCTCGCCATGAGTCCTACAGCCATCGTCAACGACAAGGACGGGGAGGTCTCCAAGGGGACGCCTCGCCTTCTGATTGAGTTTCCTCCACCGGCAGCAGCCGACAATCTTACCGAGATTTCTGCCATCACCAAGCTCGTGAACCACGTCTTCATCGAAGGAGAAGCCGGCATTTGGAACAATGGCTACGTGCGCACCTCTGACGCAGAGGTAACAGACCTCATTCGCAAAGGCCAATTGGCCGTTGCCTATCTCGCCTCTCCATCTTTGGCATCCGAGAAGAAACCTTCAGCCGAGCAACTGGTTGGAAAAGGCCCGCCGGTGGGATGCGTGTGTGTCAAGCGAAACTCGGACACGCTGTGCAGCCTGGGCATGCTTGCCATCGACAAGGCGTACCAAGGACTTGGGCTGGGCCGCGAGATATTCCAGTTTGTCGAGGACCACTGCCTCTCTCTGGGCTGCACCACGCTCGGGCTGGACATTCTGGTGCCGACGAGCTACGACCATCCGCTCAAGACGAGGATGCAGGCGTGGTACAAGCGGCTGGGATTCCGGGAGACGAGGCTGGCCGACTTTGCGGAGGAATACCCTGCCTTGGCGCCGCTGCTGAGTGGACCTGTGGTGTATAGGGTGTTTGAGAAGAAGCTGAGATGAAGGATATTGAAAGACGATACTTGCTGCACTCGAGGTCAACGCCTCCTCTTTGTGGTCATGGTAGCCATATGCGACGATATACCCTACTCGCTCTTAGTCTATGATGTTTTCCAGAGGCAAGATTGGCTTGGGTCAAGGAGATAGACAGTGGAAGAGGAGGAGCGTTAGCACTGAATCATGTCATTACCACTACCTATCTACCTATAAAGTTATGGAAAGCACTGAGACGCCATTGCGTGATTAAGAAAGGTTCTACGAGTCATTCAAGATTCTCGGCCTGTCTCTTCAGCTTGAGATGATAGTAGTAGATGTGGGGATGCTGGTGAGCTGGCTGGGCAGAGACATTGACGCATCCCCTTGCCATGCCAGGGGAATGCTGCTTTGTCCCTCTGGGCTGCCTCGCACATCCACGGGATAGCTTGAACAGAAGCAAAACGCTTTCGTGATTGGATCAACCGGAAATCTCCAAGGTAAGTCTGCGCGGGCGATCTGCGTGAGGCTCGGCATTGGCCGCACGTACAGCAGCGCATCGTTGACACTCGACACGACATGCAAATCATCTTCCATCAGGGATCCCCTTGGATCTCATCCGCCAGCAGGCAAGGCTTCAGCTCTATCTGCTTCTTCCTTGTCTTTCCCTCCCTCCGCCCCCCGTCTTTCGGAGCCGAGGCAACAAGGTCCAAGCCGGCGAGCCTTGTCCCCGAAACTGGGCTGCGGATGACGGGCAACAGACCCTCTCCAGCTGAATAGCAAAGCGTCAGAGTGTCTCCGTCAAAGAGGGACGGACGACCTCCAAGACAGCTTCGGAGACGGCAAGTCCCGGTGCTGTGCTACACCGTCGAATTGCGTACGTGTATGCAGTGCTTTGTACGAGAAATGAGTTTGGATCAAGGAGCAAAAACAAACAAGAGACAGCACAACACGCACACACACCCTTTGCCCTTTTGCGGCGTGGCTTGAACATCTCTCAGATGGGAAAAAGGGCGTTTCGAGACGGTGATTGGACGATGCGGTTGATTGACCTCAGCTCTATCTGGGCAAAAACCCTTGCAAAGCTGCCTTTCGGCCCAAGTTCGTTCAACGACGGGACGAGCTGAAGGGTAACCGAAAGGGAATCATGGTCCTCCTCCCTGCAGCGGTAGAGATGCAGACCTTGGGAGTGGAAAGTCACTCCTCAAGTTTGTAATTGGTCGACTTGGTGGGAAAAAAAGCAGAGTTTTCTAGCTGCTTGGCTTTGCGATGAGAATGCTGTGCTTTGCTGGCTTGCATCGGGCGGTGATGGTGGTGGATGGATGGATGGACATGGATGGAGACGAGCCTCGCTGCAGGGCTGGTGATGGTATCAGGGAACATTCACGTTATTAGACAGATTGGCGGCAGCGGCAGCGGATATGTCCGGGGGGGGGGGGGGGGGGGAGATGGTTGGTTGGGTTGTCGTTTTGGGGTCCAATACGCTGCCGCGCGCCTTGAGGTTAAGTGTAGATGAGATTGAAATGGTGTTAATTAGTCCTGATTGATGTGACTGGACTTGTTTGCTTGGGTTGACATGCAGCCCTTGCGATGAGGTTGGTGTTGGTGTTGGTGTTGGTGTTGTGCCAGATATTGGATAGGTAGGGTATGGAATCAAGATACAGCTTCTTTCGCCATGGCCGAGAACAAGGAATCCGAAATACCAAGAACAATCCTCTAAAAAGGGCATCTGCAAAAGCAATCCAAGTATCGTCTGCTGCATACACAGAACCGGCCGGTTACGTCTTGGTTGATTGATCGTTCAGATGCCGAGGAAAGACGATGCTAAGACTGCCTGCACTGCACTGCCATGATGACCCGCATCGGGGTCTCCGTTGTCCGTCCGGCGAGGCACTGCCGCCCATCTCCACCGCCATGCACGACGCCATGTGGCCCGAAAGCCGCTGATGTTGGCTGGGCTGCTTCTTTTTCCCGCGGGGACGGATCAATGCGAAAGATGACGGCTACAGATGGCCCGAGCTTTTGTTTGGTTTTTCACTTGTTGCTTCTCGTGCTCAGTGTAGGTATCATTGCGTCGGTCAGTGGAGGGCTGGGAGAACATGAACATGGCGCCTGTGCTATGCTGTGCTATATGTACCTTACGTACATGTACCGGTGAGGCGCAGGAGATACCTACAGGGGAGCTTGACCTGCACCTGAATGCTTCCTTGACTCTTGGCCTAAACAACACCGTCGATTTCATCATATGACGGGATACCAAACCAGAGGAAACTGGTCAAGTCGCTTTTCCCGACTCTGATCTCTCTGTAAAGATACAGCTGCATACCACCGATACTGGTACTGGTATATGAAATTTCCATGTCTACGTACAACTACGCCCATTGAGCATCAAGTGCCTCCACGAGAAGATGACTCGTCAGCTCTATACCTAGTACTAACACGATATCCAGCCAAGATTCTCTTAACGCCTTGACTTCGCCGAACCTGATTACGCCCCGTACATGTAATAATGTTCTACTCATACCCGTCATCGGCACATGTAAGCAAGATACAAACTTACATGCCACCAGGCAACTACTTACATGTCCCGTATCACTCCAGCAATCTGCGTCGGGAGCCGCAGACCGAGATACAGCCCGAGCACCTGGCTGTTGCAACCCCCCCATCCGCTAGGCTTGGCTCCAGTCCTTGGACCCTGGACCGGCTGGAACCCCGGCACCCCCATCGGAGAAGGGTTTCGCGTTGGCAATCTCGAATCTCGACGGCTTTGCATCGAACCCGTCCATGCCATCACCGGATCCATGTCACACCCGCCACCGTCGTCGTTGCAAGAAGTAGTGCTCGCTAGCCGGAGCTGCTAACGGTTGAGGTGCAGCGAGCTAGCGCCCCCCCGAGGCACCTGGAGGGGACCTGTAGCTGCAGCCTACGGGGCACTCGCGAGTACCGGCGAGGGCTGCCAAGGGCCCCAAGCTCCCGACCCAGCCGCTGAACCATCTCCAGGGCTACAACTAACAGAACCCCGCCACACCACCACCCACTAAAGCCCACGCTGCACCTGCGCTATAACCCACTATCCACCATCCACCCGACTGCAATCCGCAACCCACCACCGCCAACGCATCGTCACCCGACCACCGCCTCTGCGGCCTGTTCCGTGAGCAAAAAGAGACAAAAGAGACACAAACCCTCGACGACGAGCGCTGTCTCGCCACCAGTGTCGGCTTCGCATCCTCCCTTGGGCGCCAAACCTGCTGCTCCCAAGCCTCGGCTCCTTCTCTCTCTCGCGCCTGTCTCACGCACTTTCGGGGCGATACATCACCAATTTCGTTTCTCTTCCTCTTCCTCTTCGTCTACATCTCCATTGCTTGTTACGTCCTTCTACACACCTCCTTCCCTCCTCCCCCCCATCCTTCATCAATCATCTACAGGCTCGAGTAGCAGCAAAGCAGCTTCGATTCGACACTCTCAGAGACCATACACCTCTCTCTCCCCACTCTCTCGGGCTCTCGCTTGACCTCTTGTCCCTGCGCCTCCTCCACGCCCGCCTTACAATCATATCCAGACGTCCGCTAGCTCTGCTCAGCTCTGATTGATCGGCCTCGGACCTGACCGCCCGCTACACGTGCTCTCTCGCCTGTCCTGTCCACGACAAGTTGGCCAGCGCATTGGGAGCAGAGCCGGACTTTTGCTTCATTAGTACGCGATTGTTCCCTGCACTTTGGATCGACGGCCGAGCAATTCCTTGACACGCGACTGTCTGGACCCCTACTCGCTCCTTTTCTTCGGCACGAGTCCCCGTCGTCGTTATAAGGGCCTGTTCAGCCAATCCTCGACGCCAGCTTAGCTCCCAACGGCGCGCTTGCTTGCGCCGCCTTGCTTTGCTCGCCCATCCGCCTGAACCAGCACGGAGATAGAAAAGAGCTTCAGCTTCGACGCAGCTCCGTGCCGAATCTATCTCTTCAACTCTCAATTTCCACAATGTCAGGATATCCACCCTATAATGGCGGCGGCTATGCCGCACCACCGCAGCAGCAGTACCAGCAGGGTTACTATCCGTATGAGCACCCAACTCCCCCTGCTACACCACGTCCGATGCTGCTACGGCGATGGTGCTCCGAATCAGATTTTGCTGTGCTTTGTCTGAAAAGCGGCGAATCTCGCCTCGTATTTGCTCTCATCGTTGATTTACTGACCTGGTCTGCCTCTCTCCAGGCCTCAGCAGCCCACATACAACAGCGGGTACCCGCCTCAAGGGCATCAACCGTCTCCCCAGCCCGGCTACGGCTACCATCAGCCTCCCCCTCCGCAGCAGTACGCATACCAGGTATGGCCGATGCTCCATCACCCCCGATATACCTGGAAAAAGGCACCCCGATGTGCTTGGAGACTCTACAACTGCTTACACTCGATGATGTGCAGCCTCCCCCTCAGCAACATGCCCCTCCACAGCCGCAGTACAGCAACTACGGCCAGCCACCGCCCCAGCCCAACTACAACGGACGACCCAGTACGGTGAAGGAGAACCCTCTGGTTCAATATCAATGTGCTAATTCCGCGTAAAAGGCATGCCTCCCCCGAACGGCTATAGTCACGGGCGTCCCAACGGCGGCCCCCCGCCCCCTCCGAACGGGCCGCAGAGCTTCGGCCACGGCGCACCGCAAGGCTACGCGTTTCGATACTCCAACTGCACTGGCCGACGAAAAGCGCTGCTCATTGGCATCAACTACTTTGGCCAGCGAGGCCAGCTGCGAGGGTGCATCAACGACGTCAGAAACATGACGGCCTACTTGGTGGAGCAGTTTGGCTACAAGAGGGAAGATATGGTCATTCTCACCGACGACCAACAGAACCCCATGAGCCAGCCCACGAAGCAGAACATCCTCCGTGCCATGCATTGGCTAGTCAAGGATGCCAGGCCCAACGACTCACTTTTCTTCCACTACTCTGGTAAGTTTCCCCTGCGATAGCCCCGGCGCTTCCGCATCTTGAACCTGTAGGCTGATTATGCCCAGGCCACGGTGGGCAAACAAAGGATCTCGACGGCGACGAACCCGACGGCTATGACGAAGTCATCTATCCAGTCGACTTCAGGCAACACGGGCACATCACTGATGACGAGATGCACCGGATCATGGTCAGCCCCCTGCAGGCAGGGGTAAGACTGACGGCCATTTTCGATTCGTGCCATTCCGGCACAGCACTTGACCTGCCGTACATCTACTCCACGCAAGGGATTCTCAAGGAGCCCAACTTGGCCAAGGAGGCTGGCCAGGGCTTGCTCGGCGTCATCTCCTCGTACAGCCAGGGAGATCTCGGCGGCGTCGCCAACAACATCATTGGATTCTTCAAGAAGGCCACCACCGGCGAGGATGCCCACAACAGGGCCCTCGCGACCAAGACTTCGCCTGCCGACGTTGTCATGTGGTCTGGAAGCAAAGATGACCAAACCTCGTAAGTCCATTGTCTTGACTCGAGTAATCGAGACGTAGCTAACATTCCTTTCCCGCAGTGCCGATGCTACCATTGCTTCTCAGGCGACTGGTGCCATGTCTTGGGCGTTTGTCACGGCTCTCAGGAAGAATCCCCAGCAGAGCTATGTACAGCTGCTCAACAGCATCCGTGACGAGCTCGCGACAAAATACACACAAAAGCCGCAGCTCTCGTGCAGCCACCCCCTTAGTAAGTTTCCCTTGCATATATGTCAGGTAGGGTAGTACTCTCCCTAACATATTTTGCAGATACCAATCTCTTATTTGTCATGTGAAGGGCTGTTCCTGAGTCTTTTTTCTTCTTCTCTATCTTGCCAGCTATCCTGGCTAAATCATGACCGAAAATACAATGGCTGCACCGCTTTTTCTTCGCGGAGTTTATCATGGCTTCTTTTGTATATGGAATCATACGTAGCCACAGATGACATGGCCTTTTTTGGATACACCACAATGGGACGATTATCGGACTTGGGAAGCTTGGAAAATCCAATTACTGCTCTTTCTTCTGGTTACTTCTGCTTCGCCTTCCTTGTTCTTGATTCTGCTCCATCTTCTTTGCTCTTGATTTTGCTTTGATTCTGCTTTGATTCGTCCGTGTTTAGCCTTCCTTATCACGTGTCGGACCTTTTGCTGGAAGTCTGTTAAGAAGTATTGTTTTGGCATAGCGTAACGATAAATTGACGATTTCTTTTCTTTCAATGTCTTCAGAAACTGGTTGGATACCCTCATGCCAAGAATCATCATCTAAGAGTTCACGTATCACCACGCGTTAGACAAATATACGGCTCTCCGAGCGAAAAGAGAAGGAAGAAATCCCCTTTTCAAAAGGGGAAAAAACCAAATCAAATTCGATTATTCCAAAACGGCCATGCAAACCTTGTCACTTTCCCCCCTTTAAACGCCAATTGCTGCCGAGCTCAGCCCCAAATCCAAAACCAGGCGTACTCCCATCCTATGCATGACAGAAAGCAAAAAAAGACATTGCCCTCTTTTTTGCTTTGATGATGATGATGATGATAAACCAAAAGAAGACGTTCCCTTTCCTGCATCCTGGTGTATATATACATTGAATTTGTTTTAGGCTTGACCATTTCCGTGAGAACCGTATCCCCTGAACCATGAATGTCATACAGCGTTAGACATCGAAAACCACACCGGACATTAATAGTGATGAAACAGCCAAGAGAGTATGTGCAATAATGACAAGGAATCGAATAAATAGATGCAAGAGGTAATCACCCTCCCTTCTCCCGACAATGAGACGGGGTTGTGGGCGAGTGAATGCATGCCCCCTCAGCAGCACATGCTTAGTAGGCGTCGACAGAGACAACCTTGAGCTGCTGGGAGCGCCTCTTGCGGCGCTTCTCCTCGGCCGCAAGGCGGAGCTTCTGGTGGATGGCTTCCTGGGCGGCCCAGTTACGGGCGGCGATGCGCGTGCGGGCGATGAAGCGCGCCATGATGAAGAAGGACTTGAGCGTCGGCGAGGGCGGGGCGGGAGAGAGAGACCTGGGGAGAAGCAAGGGCTTTCGACTATGGAGGACGTGGGTGCGGACGTGCTCGAGCTCGCGAAGCTGGGCCTTGTTGCTGCAGAGAGGGAATGAAAACTGGTTAGCAAACAAGAACTTCAAGAAGGGGGGGTATCAGGGGCAGAAAAGAGACGACATACCAAGCCTTTGCGACGTTGAGCTGCAGCTGCAAAAACTTCTTTGCATACGCGCTGTCCTTGCGGAGAGACGCTTCCCGCTCCCACCGGGCATGCATCCAATCCATCTGCACGACCATGCTCTCCAGCTCCTTCTTGTGCCGCGCCTCCGCATCCTCGGCGGCCCGCACGATGGTGTTCAGGGCGTCGTCAGCGCTGTATTGATAGTGACCCTGCTTCTGCGCCAGCAGAGCCTCCTTCTTCAGCAGCTGGAGGTCGTTCTGCAGCTTCTCGGCGCTCATGCGGTACGCCGCTCGCTCGCTGCGGGCGCGCTCGAGCTTCTGCCGCACGACAGTCTCCGAGGCGACGAGGCCGTCGATGAGCTGCTGCTGCTGCACAACAGCCTCTTCGAGCGTCTCAACGTCAGTCTGGCTCTTTCGCAGCCGCTGGCTATGCTTGTTGGTTTCTGTATGAGATGCAAGGGCAGCGTCACGCTCGCGCTCGGCCCTATCCAGCTTTCGTAACAGCCGCTGCAGCTCGAGCTCATGCTGGTTCGCAGCTTTCTCGGCTTCCTCTCGCGCTTCCTCGATCAATTCCTCCAACTCAAGCTCGTGTTGGGCCGCCGTCTTCTTGGCTTCCTCGAGCATTTCTTCCAGCTCGAGCTCGTGTTGTGTCGCGGATTTCTTGTTCTCTTTTCTCACCTCCTCAAGCATCTTCTCGAGCAGGAGCTTGCGCTGGGTTGCCGTTTTCTCAGCTTCTTCTTTCGCCTCAAGCATTTCTTCTAGCAAGAGCTTCTGGTCCTCGATTTCCGCCAGCTGTTTCTGGAGCTCTTCGACGACCTGCGACTCCCTACCTTGAGAATCGCCCCGGGCTTCGAGCTGCTGGACCCGGTTGAGCTGGGCCTGATAGTCGATTCGCGTCTGACGCAGCTCATCGCGTACAGAAGACAGCTCACTGCGGAGCTGCGTCACAATGCTTTGGCGCGTCTCAAGGGCTTCTTGAAGATCGTTCAACTGGCGAAGTGTTTCCTCTTCCTTCCGGTGGCGGTCAGCATCACCGCGGGCCTCAAGCTGCTCGGCCCGGTTCAGCTGCGCCTGGTACTTAATCTGGGTCTGGCGTAGCTCATCGCGGACAGTGGATAGCTCACCACGGAGCTGGGTCAGGAGGGCCTGGCGTGTCTCCAGCGCCTGCTGAAGCTCACCGACCTGATGGTTCAAGGCCCCATCAGTCGTGCCACGATATTCAAGCTGCTTAACCAGGTTGATCTGCGCCTGATAATCAATCTGGGTCTGGCGTAGTTCGTCGCGGACAGAGGAGAGCTCGCCGCGGAGCTGGGTTAAGAGCCCTTGGCGTGTCTCCAGGGCCTCCTCGAGTTCGTAAATTCGACTGTGCAGGGCGTCCTCCTCGCTTCGATCTGCCTCGCCTCGGGCTCTGAGTTGCTGGACCTGGTTGGCCTGCGCCTGATAGTCCCTGCGGGTCTGGCGGAGTTCCTCCTGTACAGAGGATAGCTCATTGCGAAGCTGGGCCACAAGGTTTTGATTCGTTTCCAGAGCTTCTTCAAGCTCGTATATGTGACGGCCCAAGGCCCCCTCCTCGCTTCGCCCAGCCTCGCCACGGGCCTTGAGCTGCTCGTTCTGGGCAACTTGCGCCTGATAGTTCCTACGAGTCTGGCGCAGTTCATTTTGTGCAGAGGTTAGATCATTGCGAAGCTGGGACACAAGGCCTTGGTTTGTGTCTAGAGCTTGTTCAAGCTCGTGTATATGTTGAGTAAGGGCTCCCTCTTTATCTTGGCTAGCCCTCAGTTGCTGGACCTGGTTAACCTGCGCCTGATAATCCTTCTGCGTCTGCCGCAGCTCATCATGCACAGTGGACAGCTCATCCTGCGCAGAGGATAGCTGAGTTCGAAGTTTGGATATCAGACCTTGGTTGGTCTCCAATTCCTCTTGAAGAATTTCGTTCTGGCCCTCGGCATCCTGCAGCTGTTGCTGGAGCTCTTCAATGGCCTGTGATGACTTGCTTTCAGCGTCACCTCGAGCTTCGAGTTGCTTGATGCGGTGGGCTTGTGTCTGATTTTCTTTCCGGGCCTGGCGCAGCTCATCGTGCACAGTGGACAGCTCATCGCGCGCAGAAGATAGCTCTTCTTGAAGCTGGGATACAAGATTTTGATTTGTCTCCAAGGCCTCTTCAAGATTCGCATTCTGGCTTTCAAAGTCCTGCAGCTGTTGCTGGAGCTCTTCAATGGTCTGCATCACGTCGTCCAGCTGGTCCTTGTGGTCGTTCTCCTGAAGCGCCTCCAGTTTGTCTTCCCCTTCCGTAATGAGGCGGTCCTTTTCCCGGATTTCGGCTTCCAGATCTTCGATATCGGCCTGAAGTTTCTCCACCATCTCCTTGTACCTTTGATCCTCGGAGGCCTGGCGTTGGAGTTGTTGTATATTCGATTCGCGGTCCTGGAGATTTTCTCGAAGCGTTTCCAGCTCGGCTTGGTGATCATTTTCGGCAGAGTGCTTTTGCTTTGCCTTTTCCTGCAGCTCCAGCATCTGTTGGCGGAAGCTCTCGAGGTCACGCTCGGCTGTGATGACTTGTTTCTTGTATCGTTGCAACTCCCTCTGCATGGTGACTTTGTCCACTTTCAGCTCTGTATTTTCTTTCAGGGCAGCCTCACTATAGCCGGGACCTGCTTTCTTGAGGGCCTCTTCAAGGAAATGGATCTTCAGTTTGAGGCCAAAGTTCTCCTTCTCGATTTTGTCAATGACGTTTTCCTGCTCCCGTAGGGATAGTTGGTTTCCATCCTGTAAGGGACCCTTGTCTACGTTTCGGCGCGGCGGAAGCCCCATTGGCGTGGAGGAGGCACTGCTGGCTTCGATTTGTGGAAGCTCGTTATCAAGGAATGATGCGTGGCGCGCAGAGAGGGCGGAGAAGTCCATTCGCGGAAGCGGAGTCATGTCGTCGTCCTCGTCGATTCTGTTGAGCGCAACCGGTGTGGTGCTTCCAGCCGCACCTTTCCCATTTCTCCGTGAGCTGTTCATTGTAGCGGACTTGAGAAGTGGTGTGAATTCTCCGCCTCCAATGTTTGATGGCAGATTTCGACGGTCTGCGAGGGATGTTCTTTGACGAGGAGTTCGGATGCTGGTGCCGTTGGAGCGGCCATTGCGGAGCTGCTGTAGCAAGTCGTCGTCCTGATCCGGGGCTATAAACGATGCCTCCTGAGTTATGTCCGCAAAATCGGGCATTCTGTCGAGGTATGTCCCGTCCCCAGCATTGCTGCGTGGGGTATCGAGCACGCCGCCAAAGCCGTGATGGGCCATTGCGGCGGCGAATTCGAAGTGGCTGCGCGTATCGTATGAGACGAGCGTGGGCGCGAGGCGGGTCGGGTTATAGACAATGGCCTGTCATAGAGGAAAAGCGAGTCGAGCGTAGCCTGGAGTAGCCGTCACAGGTTGTAGGTTGGGCGATCTGCCTGCGTGGTTCGTGACTGGGCGGAAGGAGTGATTCAGAGAAAGGCTTGAGGGCGCAGAGTAGCAATACGCAGCGATAACGAATGTTGAAGCACACGCGACCTGCGGAAGTGAACCGAACAAAGCGGGAGAAGGTTGTGAGACATGAAGGTGGGATACTGAGGAAGCGCTTCGCGTTGATGGAGCAGAAGAAACGGGATCAAATGCCGGTTGTTTATTCGCGTTGGGCTTGTTTACATTCTTGCCACTTTAGGACTAGCGCAGCCAGGAACTCGGATGCTCTTGGGGGGTTTTCTTGCGGAGCGCCTATAAACTCAATTGCTGTGTTGCATTAGGATTAGCTCGAGGAGAGCAGTATTTTCAATTTATCGTGTCGTAGAGACTCGCATATCTAAGGTACTTTGCCTTATACGAGTACTTGCACACTGCAAAGAGACATCGATCAGTGGGATAATGAGGTAGAGATGGTGAGATGTTGGGCGTAAAGGGCAGTAAGGCCAAGAGCCAATCATGCGTGGGAGATGTGCCTACGATGCACCGTGGCATCCAATCATAGGTAAGCTGCCGAAGTGAATGGAGATGAAAGACCTCCGATTCGTCTCAGTCACTTTCAAGCTGTTGGTTCAATACTAAGGCCATATACATCTGGCACCCTCGTCTCCTTGACATTGGTGGGCAGTCGCAGCTTTCTCACAGCTGCAGTGATTGGTTTGTGTTATGCTTGAACGGATTGATGAAGCTAATAGCTCCTTTTCGAGATCGAACTCAGGGTCAGTAGAATTTCGCGTAAGGGACAGTTGGAATGCAGGCGAACATGCGCGGGTGGCTTCTAGATACACAACACAGCATTATCATGTGCTACAGACACGGAGTCACGGCATGTACTGTTCAACGTACTTCACGGGCAATTGGCGGAACTTCTCGAACAGGCAAAACTCAAGACCTCGCGTACAATTCAGAGGCTGTTGGCCGTCCTTCTTCAATGACGTCGTATAGAAGCTGTCTCCATGGAAACTGAGATCCAGACCGCCGCCATGAAACTCTCTTGATCGTCATGATCCAAGGGTCGCCGTGAGGATGATGCAAAGGTTGTCAAAGCTGTCCCCGTTTATCCGCTTTACATCATCCTACATGCATCGCAAAGCGGCTTATCGCATGTCGCCCCGATAGATGCATGCGCCTCGTTTGCGGGGAAGGCCAAGTGCCCAGCCAAGCGTCCAGGATCTGTCGCAAGGGACCAACTTATGCGAGTAATCCAAGCATAAACGCCAGGGTTCGGCCACCTCAAGCTTGCGACCAAAGCTTTTTCCATACTTATACAAATACAGACGAGGGCTCCAGCGCTCCTCGTTCCGCATCGATGTTGGCGCCCGAGATCCCGCTGCCGTCTCTTTTGCTGCCTCGATAAACAGAGCGGCGAAGAACCGACTCTTTGGGCTCCAGGGCCCGTCTTGCGAAGCTCTGGACAGGGACGACCTGGAATTCGTTTAAAAAACTCGCATCATCTCACTTCTTCGGTGGATCTGGCTGCAGCTATGGAGCTGAACCGCAGGAAGGGCGGCTCATCCCTAGACCGAGTGCCAGATGAGATCATCGGCCATCTTCTCTACTACATCTCGCCTTACGACCTCGCCAACGTCCAGCTGGTGTCACATCGCTTCTATCGCCTCGCCAATTCAGCCCTTCTCTGGAGACACCACTGCCGCAGCTCTTTTCATTTCTGGCACCCACGGCACAGGTTTCACGAAAAGACGGCGGCGCTGGCCCAGGAGACGAACTGGAAAGATCTCTTCATCTACAGGAACGCTCGGAACCGACAGGTAGCCCACTTGCTGAATGATATCATCCGGACCAAGGTCAACCGCGTCAGAGGCTTTGAGATCATAGGGCAGATTGGGTACGACGCCAAGGACTTTCTGCTGGGGCAGTGCCAAACGCCCCCCTCTGCCGAAGATGGCTTGGCTAGGAGGTAAAGTCATGTCATCTTTGCTGTTGGACGTGTCTCTTTACTCATACCTTTTTGTAGATATTATAGCAATGCGCTCTTGGACACCATCCACAAGCACATCGCCATTCACGAATGGCATTCGCTCATGCAGTCTGCCCAGCCCTCTAGCATACGGCAAGCAAGCGAACAGCTCGAAAGAGCCCTCGGCGCGTTTGACCTTTTTGTGCTGCATGATCAGCCGGGTGACCTTGATGATGTACGTCCTCCAGCTTCCCCTTTCACTGGTCTAGGCGTTGCTAACTTGACCAGATCACACGGATGTTCGACGCTATTGGGGAGGACTTTCGATCCTATTACCCCAAGTCTGATGATTGGTCCACTCGCAAAAGGGCATTAAAACTACTCCGATGGCTACGCGCTCTTGACTTTACTGGCATGCGAAATCCAGAGCAGAATTATCGCAATTTGAGAAACTGCTTGATCGGCCAAGCGCTGCGTCATCCGGACCACGAGTCTATCCCACTTATTTCCACTGCCATCTTCTGCTGCGTGGCAGCGCGGGTTGGCATCGACGCCCGGTGCTGTGCATTTCCAACCCATGTCCACGCCATTGTGTACCCGCCGGATGGGCATACCTTGGACGACGAAGTCGTGGGTGACTCAGAGACGGCGCCCGAGCGCATGTTCCTTGATCCGTATGGTAGCGACGATGAGATTCCACTATCTCATCTGCGGATGACGTTGGCACGCCTAGGCCTTCAGCAACACAACGACCTCTTCCTTGCCCCTGTCTTGGCACCAACAATGGCGATGCGAACAGCGCAGAATATAAGGGCCACCGTGGCGAGGATATCAGACCTGCAGGAACACGCACATCCTGAACTCAGCCAGCTGCTGCACGGGAATAACAGAATGAATGCTGACGCCTGCCTCTATGCTGCGTCGTGGGCCACGCTGTTATTGATGCCCCCCAATAACACGACGTGGCTTGAGCGGTTAGCCAAGTTCCTTCGTCGATTTCCCGGAGCCTGGCCAGAGGATGTCTGGATGGTTGAGAAATATCTTTGGCCGTTGTACAGCAGTGTCATCAACCCGAGGGACGGGTTTCCCCGCAACATCGATGCGGGCTTCGGCAACCCTTGGCAGTATTGGCAATTCGTTCGAGATGCAGATGGCATGGCACCTCTGGTACACCGAAGGGACCTCTGCGATGATCCAAGAGGCCCCCCGTTCTATATCGGCCAAGTGTTCCGGCATCGTCGATACGGCTGGCTTGGCGCCATTACCAGTTGGCATGAAAGAGGCTCGCATCAGTCAAGTTTACCAGGTCGTGCTCGGGACGAAGCTTCTCATCAGAGGCCCACAAACTCTCACTACTCTCTTTGTTTCATGTGCATGTAAGTCTCTTCTTCACCGTGGTCATCCTTTGAGGACCACTCTCCTTTGCCTATTCATTCACTAAAACTCTTGACAGAACGGAAACGGAGCCCGAGCAGCATGTGGTGGCCCTGCGCAATGTCGAACTCATATCTGACCCGTCCTTGATCAAAGAGGACATGTTTCCCATGGCCGGGAAGTTTTTCAAGAGGTTCGACCCCGATACCTGCAGGTTCATTTCCAATATTCGAGAGGAATACCCGCTTGATTAGGCCCAAGGGCTTCGAAGAGCAATATAGAGCGTCTATCATGCGCGGCCCTTGCTCGTTTCACATCGGGCTTGTGTTTGCCAGGTTCTGCATTGCTTTTTATGAATAATATGATGAGACGATAGACAGGAGTCAGATGTCATTGAGTGATAATGGTGTGTTCAGCCGATTTAGGTGTTCTGGTTGGTTCGCCTTTTTGCTACCCATCTTGGATTAGAGGATACCCGACTTCAGATGGACATTATTTGATGTCTTGCCACTTCGCCGAAGTGATGGAATACCATTAGATACAATAAATAATAAATCACCAGATACCCCATAGCGAGTAATCTGCCTCATCGTCCTCCCCGCCCGACATTCAGGTGTTTGACCCCTTAGGAATTCTCAATCAGTTCCTGCAGAACGCCCTTTTCTGCGAGTTTCTGCACCCATCTGTGCAGGGCCTGTCCGTAATCCTTCTTGCGATCCTTGACTCGCTGCTCATCAACAGCCAGCGAAATCATCTCGGCTCTGTACTCCCCAATTGCGACCTTTAGGTCGACGACAAGCTGCTTATACAGATCCCAAGCCTCATCAGAACCAGATGCAGCACGAGATATCCTGGCCTGCAGGGTCTCGCCCAGTTTTGCGTTCTGAAAGTCGGATGGGCGCAGATTGAACTCGGCCAATTCGGCTGGGTTTTCGACGTCCAAGACGGGCGGCTGTTTGTCGACTAGGTGTGTGAAATTGTCATCGTGTTTCATGTGCTCTTTCAGGAGGGCTATTGACGCGGCTGCTTCGACGATGGAGCGGGCGTGGAGGGTGACGGGGCGTCGGCACAGGGCGAGGAGGTTGAATGATATTTGGCTCTCTTCGTACTGTAGTATTCGACCCTCGATTTGGGGACGAGCAATGTTTGTCCAACATGTTTCGTCGGATCCAATGCGTCCTTTGATGACAGATAGGTACTTAGTGAATAGTCAGACCTCGGTAGAGCTTGTCTTATACTCACCTATCCGGTGTGGCTTGCTCCGGAGCCCATCCAGCTCCCAGACGTAGCCATCGACAGGCACATAGGCGATGAAATGGAATCCATAATCGTCGTCGACTCGCTTCTTCCTGCTCGCTTTCTTGGTGGTGCGGGACCCTGTCTTGGCCTTCTTCGACTTGGTGTCCGACACGGCGTTTTCCAAGCACAGGTCGGCGTTGAGGTGGTCCATGCGCCTGGTGAATGCGTTATGGATGCTTCTCATGAACTTGTTGTTGCTGATTTCGTGGCCTCGTAGCACCGTGTTCATGTCTTTGGTTGCTTCCTTGAATTTGCGGAGTTGGTCGCCTAGTTCGAGGCCTTGGGCGTTCATGACGATATTGAGCAAGGCGAATGTAGCGCAGGCGTTGTTGGTAGTCTATATCAGTTGCGAGATGATGGATGTTAGGCAGCCTGGGGCTGGAGAAAGATGAAGCAAAAAGAGGTGGGTGTCTACCTGGTTTGCGAACCATAGCGAACCTGTTTCCTCTTCGCCTTCGCCTTCATCTACATCTGGCGTGTACTGGAAGAGGAAGATCAAGCCATATATCGGTTTTCTGGAAGAAGTTAAGAATTAGGTTTGCGCTTTGTCAAAGGAAGCTGGGACTCACAGAAGTGTGTCTAGCCAGCTCTGGTCGATGCTGAAGAGTTCCTGCACTTTGACGTCTTTGACCCCTAGATCATGCAGAATGGTGTTGAAGAATGCCTACATGTAGCTTTTGTTAGCACCGACGTTCCCCGTTCATCGCGTTTTGGCTCTATAGGAGCACAATGGATGACTGGAGACTCACAGGTTCAGATTCAAGCTCGACCCAGCCATCCCACTCTTCGACGTCTGCCGCTGTGAGAGGCCGTAGCGCCTCGTCCAACAGATTGTCGGGCAGATTCAAGGCCTCGGTTGCTGCCTCGGCGGCCTTGCGCTTGGGGTTCCGTCGTGGCTCGTTCAGGCTGCTCGTGGACGAGCTGTCGGCGGAAGCTTCCGGGGCCTTGACGACGATGGTGGACGTGGCACGACGAGAGGATCGACGGAGACGCTTCTCGGATGGCGCATCATCTGCGTCTCTTGGCGGACTGGCTCGGACGCTGTTAGGCATCGTTCTGTGATGGTGACGACGACATTCGAGGCATGGGGCGCAAGAAACGTGAATTTGGTTCTGTATTTCCAATCTGAAGAAGAACAAAACACTTGGAATGCTCCTTGTGGCAGACTGAAGCTGGGCTTTGCAGAAGTGAAGAGGCAATGCGGTGAGGGTGGTGAAGAGGTGAAAGAGGTGACTTGGATCCTCGCTCGGAGCAACTGTTTGCAGACGACGCACCTGGGCAGTGTACAGGTGTCCATGATGAGTACTATTTATTCACCAGAGACCCTCTCATTTTATAGGGGTATATCGGACGGAAAAACGACTCGATACAGTCGACTTTGACGTATCGTTCAAATCATGTTCGTCCTCACCCACGGCACAAGGTGCAGTACAAGGCCTTTGGTGTTGGACAGTGTTGAGGACGGTACTTTGGAGTACTTGACAGGAGCGTCGCTTTCTTTGGAGCTGAAGCTGTCAATATCTCGATGAGGCTGTGAAGGTTTGGTGAGGCTTCAAATTACGGTGACTCTGCAGGATCATATACTGATAACGGAAGTGTAAGGAGGTCAATTGGTTCCGCCTCTGCCTCATCCTGTTGTCGCGACCAGAGGACCTCGACACTTGAACCATCATGTCTGGTGGTACTTTGTATTTTGGTCCATGAGTTTACAGCGGTCCAGCAGGGCGTCTCGCACCGCCTGGTCCAATCAGAGCCCCGCAATCGGCCGCAGAGCCCGCCAAACCCCGCTGACGGCATCACTGTTGACACTGTCGCTTTAGCACCCCGGCGCTCCGTTTCAGCGGTCCAGCAGAAACTGAAGTCGCGTCTGGACGTGTCGGCATTTCAGCACCGAAAAAAATAGAGCTCGAGCGCCTCCACTGAAAAATTAGGTAAACTTGGCCAAACCACCAGGCAGCCCCAAATCGCCAAACAAAAGCCGGCCTCGTTCGACACGCGACAGCAACAGCACAAACAACCAGCGGCACGCCGTCCTGTTTGCTCTCGCTCCCGCCGTGCAAACGACTTGAAGGTGCCCCCCGATCCCTCGATTTGCGCTGCTGCAGCGACCGATGCCGCTGAGCAGAATCTCGCACCACCACGGAATGCGATGAGCGCGAATCCTCGCCTGCGGACTGGGTTCCCAGCAACCCAAGTGGCCGCTCACCGACGACGCCTTCACGACGATGACGACCCGCCGGCGACAGCCTTCAGAACAGCTCTGGGCTCCAACGGGCCGGCGAAGCTCCCCGTCGCCCCGGAAAGCGCAGTTCCTCGCAGCACCAGCACGCAGCCCGTGATTCCTCTGACGCTCCTCGATGGCCCCCAGCAGCGGCTGTACGCATTTGCCGTCTACGTCCTGCTGTGGGCGTGGAAGCTCTACGACTGGCTGCAGGTGGTGGAGGATGGAGATGCCTCCTGGTGGCTCTTCCTGAAATGGATCCTCATCGACTTCGCTTTTCTCTTTGGGCTGCCCGAGCTGAGGATACCCTGGCTGGAGCTCTCCCAGCTCGTGGTTACCGCTGTTTTTGCATCCCATTTGGTCACCAATTACATGCTCATGTTCAACATTCCGGTATGTTGCAATTGCCAAGCTTGCTTTAACTCTGTCGCCCGGTGGTCGTCGCGTGCTAATTGAGAGACACAGCTTCCCTGGCAGACGTGGCTCCTCGGCGTGGCAAAGGTCCTCTACGATCGTGAAATCTCCGTCGCCGAACACCACGTCAAGGTCTCCGAGCTCCTCAATAACCACTCGCTCATCATGGGCAAGCAAGTCATCAACATTCTCCCCGAAGGCTCTGCCGTCCTCAACCCCGAGCACACGCCCTTTTGCTTGTCGGCCAAGTCCCAGACCTCGGCACATCTCCCAATCTTCTTCAACTCCACGGTCCCCGCTGAGATCGAATTCCTCCGTCTGGACCTCGACACTGGCAAGGAAGAAATCATCAAGGTGCCGACCAGGGAAGTTAACAAGCTGGCCAAGGTGATTCGCGACCACAATGCGGATCCTGACGCTCATCCCTTCCACTGGACGTACGCGATCAAGAAGCCGGGTGTCTACCGACTGAACAAAGTTTTGGATGAATATAAGCTAGAAGTTCAGAGGCCAGTCAGGGACACGTACGTGGTGCCTTGCCCACAGGCCAAGATTCAGACGACCGATCCTTCAGACCGATGTATTCGCGACCTGTCCAATCTCTCTCTCGACGTTGTTGGAACTCCACCTCTCAAGATCAAATACTCGCGAACGATCAATGGAAAGAACCATGCTTTCCACTTTCAGAGCTTGCAGCCCGAAGGCTTCAATTCGCCTCTCCTCAGCACCTCCGGCTTGGGTATCGACAATGGTGATGACGTCGATTGGGTCAAGCCTCATAAGGTGACTGTGAAACTTAACGAGTCCATGGCTACCCCTGGAGACTGGGAGTATTCGGTAGAGGAGGTGTATGATGCATTCGGCAACGTCGTCAAATATGCTGAAGCGTACGAAGATCTGGACTCGCCCAAGATGAAAGGGCTTTCCCAGAAGTTCACCGTCAAGGAGCGGCCCAAGATCCGCATGCAGGGCTGCGACTTGAGAAATCCCATCAAGGTGGCCAGAGGCCGCCCAGCTAAACTGCCCATCAGCTTTGGCCTTGCCGGTCCCGTGGACGATACTTCTCACAAGGTCACATGGATTTTCTCGCCCATCGATTCGATAACCAACAGTGGCGACCACGGCGACCAGGTCACGGTTGGAACGCACTTCGCCAAGAGCTCGCTCGACAAGCCGTTGGTCTCGGAGCCTGGCCTGTACACGTTGAAATCTGTTTCGACCGGCTCTTGTGAGGGCGAGGTCGATGAGCCTTCTTCCTGCTTGCTTTTGAACCCTCTCGAGCCTCATCTATCTCTGCGAACAGAGGAGATCCCGGACAAATGCGCTGGCAACTCGGTTGGTCTTCGCGTCGATCTGGACCTTGTCGGTACACCTCCTTTCACCGTTCGATACGACATCATCTCCGATGGACGTGTGGAGAAGCAGGCTCATCGCGTGGATGGCTTGCGATCCCAGATTGAGCTTGTTCCTCGAAAGGCCGGGCGCTACAAGTACGTCTTCAGGTCTATCGACGACGATGTCTACACCGGCTTGCCCCTGACAGGCAGCGACAAGGTCCTGGAGCAAGTGGTCAAGCCGGCTGCGTCTGCATACATCTCCAACCCTGCGAAGACGATCAACGCCTGCCTGGAATCCGAAGTGGACGTGGATGTCGTACTCGCTGGAGATCCCCCGTTCAACTTGGAATGGGAAATTATCCACGATGGCAAGCGGAAGCCTGGGCGTGCAGAGAACATCTACGATACTCACTTCAAGATTCAGACAGCAGCTTTGGCAAAGGGCGGAGAGTACATTCTTGCCCTCAGCAGTGTCCAGGATCAGCGCAAGTGCCGAACTTTCCTGCAGGATCAGCTCAAAATCTCCGTCCGTCGCCAGCGACCAAGGGGTGCCTTTGGGTTGGTCGAGCAAAAGAACAGCATCATGGCCGTCGAGGGTACCGCGCTTCGCCTGCCGCTTCGCCTCCAGGGAGAAGCACCGTGGACCGTCTCCTACCGGAACCTGGACGGACCGCCCGACATCATCACCAAGACCATCAATGGGCCGAATGATCACCTTCTGGTTAGGGCTCGAGGCACCTATGAGCTTGTTGACGTGGTAGATAAACAATGTCCTGGTGTCGTCGAACCCAAGGCCTCAAAATTCCACGTGGACTGGTTCCCCCGTCCGGAACTCTCCATTGTGCCGTCGGACAGCATCACACCGGCTGCTTCTGGAGTGTTTGTCAAGCAGGAGGTTTGCGAAGGTGATATCGATGGATTCGAGGTCAAGATGAAAGGTAAGCTTACTCTAGCGACAACAAGAAGCCTCAAAAAACAGAGTGTCTCGCGGTATGCTAATCATTGTCTACAGGCTCGGCCCCGTACCACATTGAGTATGAAGTTAAGCATAAGCCACTGCAGGGCGCCGCCTCGCTCAGTCAACGACGCTTCGACGCAGCCCTGTCCAAGGCTGCTGTTGCCATGGACACCTCCAAGGCGGGCGACTACACGTACAAGTTCTCTGCGCTGGCAGATAATCTCTACAACAGCGACAAGCACTTCAACCCCTTGGTCGTCCAGCAACGTGTCAACGCCAAGCCGTCGGCTGCCTTCACCAAGCCTGGCCAGGCCTTCAAATACTGCCTGGAAGAGCAAGAGCATGAAGACGCGATCCCCATCACTCTTACCGGTGTTCCTCCCTTCTACGTCGAGGTGGAGATCAAGCACCAAGTCGGATCACCCGCGGAAACGTACCGCATCCCTTCCATCCAAACCAACAACTTTGGCATGTCGATCCCTCGACAGCATCTCCGCCTTGGCAACCAACAGCTGCTCATCCGTACCGTTAGAGACGCACGGGGCTGCCAGAGGAAGTACGACATTGGCGGGCCATCCATCCAAGTCCAGCTGTACGATGCCCCGTCAATCTACCCGCTGGAGTCTCGCCAGGATTACTGTGTCGGCGAGCGCATCGCCTACACCCTCTCCGGCGCTCCGCCATTCGACATTACTTACGACTTCAACGGCCAGTGGCACGCAAGGTCTCCCACTACCAGCTTCCAGCGTATCGCTGAGAAGCCCGGCGAGTTTGTCATTACTAGCGTTTCTGACAAGTCCAGCGAATGCCGTGCCACCGTCAACATCCCCAAGACGATCCATCCTCTTCCCAGTGTGCAGATCAGCCGTGGTAAGCACTCCCGAGTGGACATTCACGAAGGAAACGAAGTGGACATTCTCTTTGAGTTCTGGGGCACCCCTCCGTTTGAGTTTACGTACACACGAAGCAGCAACGCCAAGAAGGGACAGCGGAGCATCATACTCGAGACCAGGCACGACGTCTCGTACGAGCACAGCAAGGTTGTCAAGGCGAGCCAGGAGGGTACATACGAAGTCGTTGCGATCAAGGACAAGTACTGCTCCTTTTCCACGCAGCAAGTGGAGTTGAAGAAGGGACGGTAAAGGGGGGGTCATAGACTGGGAAAGAGGAAGAAACGAAGTGAAAAGGAAAAACAGATATACATGCTGCTACGAATTTAAGGATATGCAAAGAAGGAAGAAGACAAGAAAAAAATATTCTGTAAGACATGACGGTTTAAGGGGGAGGTGGTCAAGGCGGCGAGGGTGGGCTTTGGACTTTGTAGGGGGATGAGGGATACATTCTGTACATATGCACTTATACCATGGCACGGCGTTTTTGAGTAGGGAAGAAATCAGGTTGATGAAATGAAAGAATTGAATTTCAAGTGTTTTCTGTAGTAGACTTAATGGAGAAGCCTCGCAGTGGGTGATGTTTCTGAACCGCGAAGAGCTGATGATGACTCGTGAGACTCTTTTCAAATAAGTAAAAATGCAATGCGTATTGAGATAGGGGGCTCCTTTTCATTCAGAAGCGCTTGCATATATATACATACATCTAATCTGCAAAACAATATACGTCTTATTAGGAACAAGATTTCGACCAAAATTACTCCTCGTCAGCGACCTCAATCTTCTTAATCATCTCTCCTCCAGCCCGCCCAATCTCCAACAGTATCGCCGTGCGATTCACCTCCACCTGGTCGCCTTCGCCCTCGCAAGAACGGAAGTTATACGGCAAGCCGGCCCTAAACTTCTGCTTCTCAGGCAGCCTCGGGTTCCACAGCGCGGCGACCACATTGTTGTTGTTATTGTTGTTGTCGTCGTCGTTGTCGTCCGCGGCACTGCCCCGGAAGAAGAGCAGCGTGTCGCCGTACACGCGCTCGAGCTCCTCGATGAAGACGTCGACCGGGTGCGCGCGCACGGGCAGCGGGACGGACGCCGTGAGGGCGTCGAGGTTCTTGAACTGGGAGTGCCGCCGGGCGCCGGCCTCGACGGCCGCCTCGCGGATGATGGACCGGACGGCCTTGGGGGACACGTGGATCAGGACGTCGTAGTCCTGGAGGGCGGGCTCGAAGAGGAGGCGCGGGTCGAGGCGGACGCCCTGGTCGCGGACGAGCTTGCAGGCGGCCTTTGCGAGGAGCGTCATGCGGGAGGCGACGAGCTTGGAGGGGGCGGAGCGGGTGTAGGCGAGGCCGGACTGGTCGTGGGAGGTGGCGACGCAGAGGACCTTGTCGTTCATGCTGGGGTCCCGCTTGCGCCACGTCTGGAGCTCGTGGTGGATGGCGGCGCGGGCGTCCTCGGAGAGGTCCTCGGCGGTGTCGACGACGAGGGGGTCGCTGCGCCAGTCCCACCTGGAGAGGAAGAAGAGTGTCCGCAGGAGGCCTGTCGCTACGGACGACGGTTGCTTCCAGGGGTACGGCTGGAGGAAGGCGTGCAGGACGAAGAGCTCGATGAGCTCCTCGCGGATGTGGCCGGCGAGCTTGTGGCTGTTGAACCAGTGCTTGACGAGCCGGATGGTCGGCGAGAGGGGCGGGAAGCGGGTGCAGAAGGTGGCGATGGTCTGGGTGTGCAGCGGGAGCGTGTTGTACAGCCAGTTGAGCTTCACAAGGGCCTCCTCGGCCTCCTCGCGGATCCGGGGCTCGAGCGTCTTGTTCTTGACCTGTCGCTCGAGGAGCTTCTCTTCCAGGTCGCAGTGGATCCTGAGCCGGAATGCTGCCCCGGTCTCGTATATGACGTCCAGGTAGGCCAGGTTCTCGATGCCGAGCTCCACGTTCTCGCGGCCTAGGTATGTGCTGATCTTGTCGTTGGCCTTTCGCAGTCTCCTGTCGATGTCGAGCAAGAATTCGACCTTTGCCTCCTGGATGGCCGTGAGATTCTCGGGCCACTTGCTGGACGCCTCGAAGTAGAGGTTCACGTCCATGAGGTCGATAGAGCCTTTGTGGTAACCCGTCAGCGGCGGCTCAATGGACGCATAGCGCGCGGACGAGGAGGTGGGAGAAAGCTGCCTGATGTGTAGCGGCAGCTCTTCGAGGTTGCGGATCTCTCTCTCAAAGTTCTGGAACGCCTGTCTTGCTGAATCAAAGGCCGACTTGTCCAGGTGGGAGAGCCTGATGATGGACGAAAAGGCGCCGCCTATTGTTGTCACCTGGTCCTTTGAAATCTTGAGGTGCCGTTGCAGAATGTAATGCGTAATCTCCTCGCAGATCTGCAGCGGAAGCTTGCTCGACCACTCGACACACTCGAGAATGCTGCCGTCTTTGAACCGTCGGAGTTCAGCCTTGTCGCCCCAGAATTGTCGGAACCTGGCAGCCTCCTTCTGCTCCTCGGCGGGTGGACCAAACTCCATCTGCCTTGACATGTGTGCCGGATCGAAGATGACGCCTATAAGGACGCGCATGACTTCTTTGGCCGGGGGCTTGGAAAGTGCCCAGTGCCCCCTCTGGGGCAGCTGGAACTGTACAAGCTGGGCTCGCTCGCCGTACGCCCGCTTCAGGTGCTTGTATGCTTCGAGGCAAAAGGTTCCCACGGCTCCCCGGCGGTCGGCGGTTTCGGAAAACTTTGCAATATCGGAGCTTTGAATCTCGAAGATGACGTCAAAGTTCTGAAATGGAACATCGGCTTTAACGATGAATGTGGGATCGAATTTGTCGGCCATGGCGTCGGAGAGGAGATCGGTGGTTGATCTTGCGTACATCTGTAGCAAGCTGGCAGACCACGGAGTCATCTTGAACAGGAGATTCAGCTGTCGGAGAGGGTCAAACATGACAGGGCCAGTCTCTCGAACCGAATCCGCGGAGACGCTCGAGGAGCCGAAAGTGTATGGCTTCTTGAGAAAGTCCGTGGTGGACAGGAACTGAAGGGCTGCCTTGAATAATTCGGTGCTGCTGAGGGAAGTCGACAACGCCGCCTGTCCGTTCCGGCCCCCTGTCTGTAAGAGCAGCGCAATCATCGCTGCCCACTCGAAGTGGCCGAAGCCTCCGTGAGAGATGGCGCTGCCAAAGCCACGCTGCTGAAGCCATGTCCTGCCGAGAATGCACGCATCTGGGAAAGCAGGGCACTCCTTTCTGATGTGGGTTAGTAGCCGCAAGTAAGGGATGAATGTCCGCTCGGCGTTCAAGGTAGAGTTGTAAAAGGGCGTTGCTGCTTGAGCGGCCTTCTTCTCGTCCACCTCGCCCAGCCGGTTGTTGTTTGATTTGGGCGTCAATTTTGACCAGGGGAATAGGGCATCGGGAGCGCAGGGAATAAGCTTGATGCCATACGATGATTTCTTCGTCTTCTTCTTGGCTTCTCGGTCATCGCTTCCGTCGCTCGAGGCTTTTGGTCGGAGGACGACGATCGGCAACAGAGGATTCTCGTTCAGGTTCTCAAAGCTCAGTTCCATATCTTCGGCAAACTCTTTGCGCACGCGCGCGGCAATATACGCGATGTAGTAGGCTCGGCGGTAGAAGTAGCGCATGCTCGTATAGTCCTTCTCCTGGAACAGCGAGGCGGGCATCTGGACGACCATGTCGATTCCGAACTCGGACTGCGTCTTGATCATTGTTCGAGAGACATAACTGCCAACGACGTTGCACTGCGACGGCGGTGCGTAGGAAACCTTGTACGGTGCATCCTTGGCCGGCTTCGGGTCGGGGAAGGGGATGACGATGCGGTGCTCTTTTTCGAACTTGGCGGTAGCCTCTGCAATCTGCATCATTGTTAGAGTCTCTCGACAGCTCTCCAGCTCATGTCAGACTCACCGGTCTAGGGTCGTGGGGTTCAATTGAGTCGATGATGCTCTTCAACCGGTGCAATTGGCCGTCCACACCATGGAGGGCCTTTTCGTAGTTGGGCCTGGCCTCCTTCAGCAGCTCGTCCGTCTGCAGGACGAAGGTGCTCGCGGCCGTCACCCGAGCCGTGTTTCGCGACTCAAAGTCGATAAGCCCGGAGTGGCGGAGGCCGATGCTCTCGTGGCCAATCTTGCGGCGCTTCGAGCTCGATTCCATGGTGTGACTGGGCATCTCGGCGTGTCTTGGTGTGAAGCCGGGAGTTGAGCGCATGTCGCATTGATTTTT